CTCTATTTCTGAGACAGAATTACGTCATAGGCCTATAAAATTCAAGTAAGTTATTATCGTATTATACAACACAACGAAACACCCACACATTTTTGACGTCAGAAATAGAGTTTAACGTTCCGACCTACTTACCCCAGGGGCATAAGCCCCCTATACCCATTATATATGGTGCTGAGTGGATATCAGAGCCAGTCAGTTAACGATGGAAAAATGATAGATCCATGGCCCTGTTGGGAATTGAACCCCAATCACCTAGTCTGTGACTTTCTTCATTTATATTGTTCCAAAATTAAACATCGCTGAAGATGGAGGCAATGTGTTCCTCTAAAACGTCGGTGTCTAGACAAACGGCGTTACTGTTCCGAAGGCCATTATGGACGTAAAGAGAGATTAGTAATACTGAAGCATGTTTGCCATGTGAGGATTTAATTTATTATGAGCTTGTCCTGAAATATAATTTCTGCTTTCTGTTTCCTCCCTATTCGTGACTTAATTCCACCTCACGGTGTTAAAGTTTATATGTCTGTTTTTTAAAAATATTTTTGTTCCGTAATTGTTCTGTGATCGCAGTGTCTCCGCGGACAACCTGAATAGAACGGCTGACCTCAGGCTTTCACTGCGATGATTACGAAGACGCGTGTCTAAGTTACGCAGTGCAGCGTGACATTTAACGACGTAGTGTTGCTTTAGATCATAAAAGCGATTGCCCTGACGATGGAGGCAGCAAACACATACGAAACGTCGGTAAACTTTTACCACGATACATGATGCAACATCACGTAATACAGACATTTTCATGACCGAATGGAGCTCGCGGACCGCAGTTTGAACAGAAAGAAAGAAAAATAATGTAACGAGGAAGTTGGAGTTCCGGTTCGACTCCGGTGCACTGAACCTGTGGGTTATGTGCGTGATGGTGCAGACTTTTACGCCACGGAGAAGCCTATCTTGACGAGCTGACAGTCGCTCAGCTGGTAAAAGATTTTCCCTGCCTTTTGCAAAACCGGAATTATCCATTTTTCGTGTTTGAAATAGCTCGCCACCGGACTTTCCCTGGAATCAGTTCGCATGCTCATACCCTACTCCACTTTAATATTATCTACAGTGGCGAATTCTGATCTGCAAGTCAGCTCGTATAAAAATCAAAAATTATTAAACAATTATTTAATGATGATAATAAGCCCGATTTTCGCCACGGTGGTCTAGCGGTCAGAACGCTATCCTTGTTATCCTGGGGTCTCGGGTTCGATTCCCGGCGGGGCCTGGATTTATAACTTGTGTTGGGCAAGGCCTTGGTCTAGGCAACACGGAGTTTTCCTCCGTGGCATCCCAACAATTACTCCATTCACACACAGAAGAAGGCAATGGCAAACCACTTCTGGATCATCTGCCAAGAACGTATATGAACAGGTCCCAGTCCGAGAAAAGGATGGAAGGATCCTGTTCATATGGACCTGTCCTCAGACAAAACACTAAATAATAAAATACATTTCATATCTGTAGGACATAAACTGCATGTTGACGTTCTTGTATTTTCCATCGCCTGTTTCGTGTCTTAGCAAAAGCGAAGTCACGAATTGACACAGCGAACCATCTCGTTCTTCCATGTATAGGAACGTTGCTTAATTAGGCCTAAAGGTATATTTTGCTTTATAGGATAGCTTATTTGTGTATGAATCATAAACCTTCTGTTATTCTCCAATTTCAGGGTTCCCACCCAGCTGGATAACATGGAAAAATCAGAAATTTGATGAAGAGGTATTGGGCTGACATTATTATTACGTAGAAAGTAGGGATATATGTAATTGAATATGTTTTCCGCGTGTTAAAATAATACTTAATATAAATGCGCACAATTTTTTCATGCGTTTGGTGTTTCAAAGGTTTATTCTGCGCCAATTCTAGATTCGCATTGGATCATAAAACTTCATGCCCAACTCCTCTTGTCGTTTTATGTTTAATATTAATGCGATGGGTTAGTTTGGTCCGTATTCATGTTGAGCATGAAATCAGTGACTTTTAAAATGATATGGTTGAGAACAATTAAAGTTATAGACAAGTATTTTCGTTGAGTGGGAACCTTGGATATAATAGCGCATTCTGTTAAAAGAGTGGACCATGATATCGTATTTGGCCAAGGAAAACAACATGTCTTAGCCTTCTTTACTTTATTAAGGGAAGAAAGTAGCCTGGTGTTATAACGACGTCTGTGTGTCCCAATTTAAAATTTTGAACCAGTTGACTAATGTTTACATCAGAACCGATTGCTATTTCATATATGACTGGTATAAACATCAATAACACCACCTCAACAATAATGTTATATTAATAATATCTAGACACAACTTCCATAAAAATATACTGTGAAAGATGATAAAAGAATAAAATTGTAAAAACTATAAATAATTGTAATTTAAGTTTAAAAGTTTATAATTTACACCTGATGACAGTTTCATAAAACCGAAACATGTTGTGAATGTTCCGATGTAAATCGAATGCTCGATAATGGAACATAAGATGATATTTTAATCATTTTAATTATCTTATCTTATTATTTTATTGTGATTTGACGGTAAACAAATATAATAATTATTTTAATTTTTTTTATCAAACTTAGTGTAGACATTTGACCGTTGGAAGTCACCCCAAACTTACCTCAGTTTTTCATTCTTCATTCTTTTTTTTATCAGGAGTAAAATTATAGCTGACGAACGAACTTGTATGATGGGAGCGTCACATGACTTCAGACCCAGAAACGTGTATGGTATTACGTCTGCGAAAATTTGCAACTTGTATCAAGGTATTTTCTGTTACAAGATGTTAAGCAAAAACGTACGAAGAGTTTCTTCAGCTTTTGGTTTGACAGCGATAAGTAATGGATCATTGCAGCTAGGCATGTAAAGTTTCGTATAAGAAACAGATCGTAAACGTACAATTTAAGTATTGTTTGCAAGTGAACCATGTTACAAACATGGCGACGATGGAAACTTTAAGGTTATACCGACATCTACGAACAGCTTACGTCCAACAAAATTACTTTCGTACATTGAGGGATAGGTTTAACGGTATTTATCGCAGATTTAAATCAGATAACCATAAAGGGGCAAATACGAGGCTCGTCCACAAAGTAAGTTTCCCTGGGGCCGTTTACAGAAACAAAACACAATTTCATGGAAATATTTATTGCAACAGATACAGCAAGTGTCCAGCTATTTTTCAACATATTCGCCACCGGAATCGAGACATTTGTCATACCGTGGGACCAACTTTGGAATACAATAATAATAATAATAATAATAATAATAACCAAAATCCATAAATACTTTTAATGCTGCCATAAACCAAGTAATATGCAGGATATTAATAATAAATGTTTCTTCCATTAATGTTATCTCACGTTTTATTTGAATAATACGTTACACTTTCAAACCGGAAACTTACAGCTCAATTATTGTTACGTTTCTGTAATGCACGTCAGATTTCTTTCAAATGGTGTGGAAACTTTTGTCAAGAACACTCAATATCTAGACTACAGGTGTAATTCCGTGCAGGTATAAGAGGTTGGGCTTGGAGATAACGTATCTTGACAGTAAAGAAGTTTATCACCTTAAAAAATTTCAAAATCAAAGCTGAGAAGGCAATGTCTAATGTGAGGCTACTGTGAACACGACAATGAATAATGTCTTCATAATAACAGGGAATTTCCTGGCCATCTGAGTAATTGAAGATATTTTAAGTGCGACACTCTACCGCGGATTCTGTTGTCTTCGTTTGCCGAAACCGTGTAAGATTAGGCCTATCTGATAGTTCACAAAAATGTTACCATCTATGGCACTGTGGGCTATTTCAACCAATCAGAATATGGTTATTACTTTAGAGAAATAAATTACGAAGTATTTCTTTGAAAACGGGCACTAACCCTCATTTTGACAGAGATAGAGGCTTCCACTACCCCTAGACATCACAAGGGTAGTTTTATACCTAATAACCTTATTCAGATAATAAAATTGTGTAATTTAAACTTCTCACAACGGCGAATATGAAGATGGCATGTAAAAAGTTTATTTTCAAAAAGACAGTTATAATGACTATGAAGGGTACGAAACTCTAGTCAGAAATTTTAAAGAAATCATTCACAGAGCAGATGTATAAATGACGGCTAAGAATGCTGAATCTGTAATTGGAAGTCACTTCAGGCAATTTGAAAACACTGAACTTTATTAAAACTTTAGCAAATGATTATTGCACAGGAAAGCTAGTTTCACGTATTTGGTAGCGCTGAATACACGCGCATAATATGACAATTGAAGATACAAAATTAAAGACCCAGTACCATAAATCTGCGTTTTGTCTACTGCATGTAATGACGGTCTTCATGTGATTTCCAGAGCGAACATCGATTATTTACTTAAAGAGTTACAACCGGTTGATCTTTATAATTGAGATAAATTGTGTTGAGTTCGAGGTGAGATATGATTTAAGTCTGGTATTGGTCTTTATCATTGTCGTTAATACACTAAATACGAACAGAAACATGCTTCAAGAAGAATGTTGTAAACCATTTTCTTCAGCAGTGTTCCATGTACAAATGGACACCAAGTACTACTTAGTATACACACAGTAAACCTACACTGGACACAATACCTGCATATGGAGTAAGAAATCAGATATTAATAGTAAAAATACAAATTAAATTTTAAAAATAATAACTTTTCCTTTTGAGGGCGTAATTTCTTATGTGTACGCCAATTTAAAATATATTATAAAATTGCTTGGGATTTATAGCCACCTCCAAAAATATCATGTGATATTTAATCTTTAATTTACTTCTAAAGTAATTAATTGACTGTTGTCACAAACTTTTTAGAGAATCAAAATTTACAGAACTGAGGTAGATGATAGAAGGTATTGTTACATCTGACATCACAAGCCACTAGGCTCCGGATCATCCTGCCAGATGTTAAATTAGTCTTTATAGCCAATTTTCGGTTTGTTTTCAGGAACTACGATACAGACCATGGAGCTCTCTCATTGGTGCGTTTCAGCCCTATTCACAGACTAGGTAAGTATGTCTCTCAATATATAAATTATTGTGTTAATATGAGGATGTTTGATGATTGTAGATATATATTAGTCATAAATTGTTTTAATTGTTTCCGTGGTATGCTGTTAAGTTTTTTTTAAGCGATCAATTTTAGAGACAGTGATTGTGTTTTTTTTTCAATAATCATAATGGTTGCCGTGGTGTTGATATTAACATTATTTTGGCATTATGGTTTGCAATAATCCTATATCTGGCTAACAGTTATGACAAATTGTTTGATGTTTAAATTCTATGGGTGTTCTTTTAGTAATTTTTCACATAAACCATTTTTTTGGCAACAGAAAATGGATCATTTTTAGTCTCATTATTAATCTTCCATCCTTTATTTTACCGAACACATTTTGGGAAATAAGTACATAAGTGCTTGTAAAACTGTCCTGCTACACGTAATGTAGGCGCTTATGGAGAGATACGCCATAGCTCCTACTAATTCTTAATCTCGGCACTAGATGGGGGGTGAGTGGTCAGCGTCATTTCCTGACCAAGCTTTACCCCAGGAACGAACCCCGGTACCCATTGGACAGGAGACTGGGTGGGCCACAGAGCCGGTCTGGACGCAGAGGATTTAACCCCGATCGTTCAGTCCGTAGTCATTCACTATAATATCTGAGCTACCCTGGCACCTTTATATTGAACAGCTTGGTTAAATATTCACCAGTTGTTGAAAACAGAATGGTAGTAAATATTTATGCAAGTGATTCTGTTATCTTCAAAAGGGTCATGTTTCAGTAACGTTAAATTATTTAACATAGTTCAGAGTAAGAAAGAATTTGCAGTTCATTCATAAACATCGCTAAAAGGATTTGTGGCTTACAAAGATTTCAATAATTTGTAGGATTTGAGGTTTTTAAGGTAGTGAGTCAGAAGATGACTTGTCTTCTGGGTTGTTGCGCTGTGTAGTCTGGTAGAAGTTTACCTACGTTTCAGAGGTCATACTGCCTCCATTATTAGGGTGATGGTGTTTTCTCCATTAAACCACCTTACCTGGCTTTCAGCCTCAGAGGAATTCATTATACTTGGTTACCGTGAAAGCTTCAGATCATGTACATTGTTATTGCTGTTATCATGATCGTGGTCTTCGTGAATGGTTTCCAGTCACTTGTCTGCAGTAGGTTCTGGCAGGACACGGGCAGTGAGCCTGAGAAGTGAGCGCACGATGAGTCGCGGATTTCCGTCGCTGGAGCTGGACACTGTGGTGGAAGAACGCTCTGATCCTGACCCTGAGATGACGACCACAGAGGTGCTGATGACACCTGACAGCTAGCAGGATCCTCCACGTGCCGGTGGGCAGGTGTCAGTAGGAGTCCAGGTCCACGTACACATGTCGGGGGTTGACCAGACACCTCTGTGGATGACCCTCACTGCCTCGCCTGTCCACACCCCCAGCTGATCTCAGTGAGTGGGGCTATAAAATTCTGCAGCCCTGGTCCTTTCTGGATGACTACTACCCACCACACTTGGTCGTTTCACTGAGTGAAGGTCAGATATAACATTTTTCAGTCTGTTTAAGCGGCCCATCCACGTACGAATCTGTGGCTTGGCTCGGGTTCCATCGAGCCAAATTCGTTTGTGGGTGGGGTGTCACGAGCCGAGTCTGCTATGCATGTGTGGTGAAATATATCCGAGCCCGGCTCAAGAGTCAAGCTCGCCGAGCCAAACTCGCGAGTCAGACTCGTACGTGGAGGGCCGCTTAAGAATATCTATGGTCTCACTTCTGGGAGATGGGTGGGTTATAATAAAATTAATGAAAACTGCCTTGTATTACTACAATTTTTTAATCAGTTGTGTTGTATGTTGATCACTTTACTCACAATTTTCTAATTAAATTTGACCAAATATTATGTTTTATAAATTCTCAGGCATTTCAAGGTATATTAAAAAAAACAGAATTTGTGAACTCCTGCCCTGTAGATGCAGCTTTCACTGTATTTGTCTGTCGGGTAAGAGCATTTTAATAATGTTTCGTAACTTTTAGAAATTTATTGGCCAAATTTAATTTTGGTCTAAATTTGAAAATGTACCACCGAGTTAATAAATGTACACTTTCACTAGAGCAGAAAATTATTCAAATTGTACCTTTCGACAGCTAAATTTTTAAGTACGTAGAAGTCACAAATACCAACACTAACACCAAAATATGAGGTAATGAAACAAATGTGACATCGTAGATTTTTCATAGCAAATATTTAATATGAAAGAAGCATCTTGTCATTCTATTTAATAACTGTGTTGATATGTTATTTAATCAAATAAAACAACATTGAGTTGTGAATAAATTAATAAGAAACCAGAATATTTCATTGCAGTCAACAGTAAAATTGCTATATAGTGCAATTCTATATATGAGTAAAGATTTTTGTGAATTCGTAGATTTTTGTCTTCGGCTATCTGTGGACATGGAATTTTCTTTTATTTACTGTTTGCGTGGTAAGCAGAATTCGAGAATTTCTTTAGCGCCTTGTAAAATAATCTAGTCATTCTCTGTTTTAATTATACGCTCTCAGCTAAAATTACCACCAACACGAAACATCAATCACCTTAATGTGGTCATTCAATTCATGCCCTTTCCTGTTCTCTTCAACTTCTCTAGTGGAATGTCAAATAGAAAAATGCAAATGCAAAATGCCTAATGTCACAATATTTTACCTGTGTCTTGCTAAGAAAATATTTGTACTTAATTATTTATGTACATAACATATTATTGCTCTTACCTGTGTGGAAACTTTATATTCTATTAAAGAAATTTGTGTACTTCTTAAATTATAATGTAAGAATTACGGGCACAAGTGCATATTTATGTTAGGGCGCACAAACATACATCAATGACGACGGTGGTGACCTGAAGACAATTGTAAATTAGACAGGCCCCGCCTTTCTGTTTATGCCTCGTGTTGTAACCACGCCCACAAGTAAGTGCAATGAAAGAACCAGAACAAATTTCATCATTTCCTCCCAAAATGATGACAGAAGAATGAAGCAGTTCAAAAATACGTAACACCATCTAACAAATTTCATGGCGGAAAGTCGTTCTTGAGAAGTTAATTGTCGCTGAGATAGTCAAGAAATTCACTGCCTTTTATGGAACCAAAAGGTTAATTACGATGTTTACAAGAGTCTCCCGTTGTTCCCTAACCCAAGCCAGATGACTGTAGTCCCAGTCATTTCCACGAGATCCATTTTAATATTATCCTCCCTTCTACACTTAGGCCATGCAAGTGTTCCCTTCAGGTTGTGTAAATAAAATGTTTGTGGGCATTCGTTTTCTTTATTTATTTCATGTGTGCAACCCTCCTTCAGGTGATCATCCTAATATTTAGTGAAATTTGATTTATGAAGCTCCTCGTGTGTAGTTTTCTCTAGTGTCCTATCACTTCCTCCCTACTAGATCCAAATACTCTCCCCACTTGTCAAAAACCCTCAATCTTATTTTCTTCCCATGCTGTGAGAACTAATTTAGTATATGAAGACGGAGGCAGTACGACCTCTGAAACGTTGGTAAATATCGACCAGACTACACAGCGCAACAACCCAGAAGATAGAAATCTTCATACTCATCGCCCTGATGAGGGAGGCAGTATGACCTCTGAAACGTTGGTAAATATCTACCAGACTACACAGCGCAACAACCCAGAAGACAGAAATCTTCA